GGATTGTACCATTTGGAAGAAAAAGATGAGCAAGAAAAGGACTCAAAGTGGGAAAGGCGAGTCAAGCCAATCTCAAGACAAGCAAGGTAACTCTTGTACACAAATTTCACTTAATTCATTTATGGATTATGTGTGTGTGATTTCTGAAATCCTATGTGTGCAGGATAATTGTTCGTGGTACATCGATTCAGGAGCATCGAGGCATGTATGCAAGGATCGTTCATTGTTCAAGACCTTTTTAGAGGTTGATGATGGAGAAATCCTATACATGGGAAATGATTCCACAACAAGGGTGCTAGGCAAAGGACAAGTAGAAATAATTTTTAGTTCAGGCAAATCTCTTATTTTAAGAGATGTGTTGTATGCTCCCGAGCTTAGGAGAAATCTTGTATCCAGTGCTATCTTGAATCGATTAGGATTTAAAATGGTGTTTGAGTCGGATAAATTAATTTTGTCTAAAGGTGGTACATTTGTAGGACTTGGTTATTTGTATGATGGAATGTTCAAATTAAGTATTTGTAATAATGTTAGGGATAATGTGTATGTTGTAAGTAATAACTCTTCTCTATGGCATTTTAGACTTGGACATGTTAATTACAAGAAGCTTTACTTTATGTCTAAGCATGAATTAATTCCATCATTTGATCCAAGGATAGAGAAGTGTAGAACATGCATGCTAACAAAAATTACAAGGAAACCATTTCCTAACAATATAGAAAAGGATACTTCATTGCTTGATTTAGTGCATAGTGATTTATGTGACTTTCACAACACTCCTTCCTTAGGCAATAAGAATTATTTATTAACTTTCATTGATGATTTTTCAAGATTTTTCTATGTATACTTATTGTTTTCTAAGGATGAAGCCCTTGACAAATTTAAAATCTACAGAAATGAAGTAGAGTTGCAAACAAATAAAAAGATTAAAAAGTTAAGAACCGATAAAGGAGGTGAATACTATAATCCAAGTTATTTCCAATCTATAGGATTAGTACATGAAACAACCGCGGCATATACACCACAACAAAATGGTGTAGTGGAAAGGAAGGATATGACTTTACAAGAAATGGTTAATTCCATGTTATCCTATTTGGGTTTGAGTGATGGATTTTGGGGAGAAGCGGTTTTAACAACTTGTTACATTTTAAACCGAGTTCCTATGAAATGGAACGAGGTTACCCTATATGAGCTATGGTACAAAAGGAAACCAAACTTGAGTCATCTCAAAGTTTGGGGTTGTAGGGCAATTGTAAAAGTGTCGGAACTTAAACATAAAAAGTTAGGTGAAAGAGGAGTTGAATGCATTTTTATAGGATATGCGGAACATAGCAAATCCTATAGTTTTATGTGATAGAACAAAATGACTTTTGGTCGGTTCATACCACCATAGAGTCAAGGGATGCATTGTTTGATGAAAATAGATATTTATCAATTCCTAGACCTAAGGATATTACTCCAAATACCAATGCTCAAGGTGATGATCAAATTATGTTTGATCAAGAGGAAAATGACCAAGCTCATTTAGAGGAGGCATCTTCATCATCATCTCCACTTAGGAGAAGTAAGAGGGCTAGGAAAGAGAAATCTTTTGGCCCAGATTTTCATGTGTACTTGATTGAGGGATCAAGAAATAATGTTTTGACTCAATTTCCTTATATTTTTAATGTGGAAGATGATCCTTCAACATTTGATGAGGCTATGAAGTCTCATGATGCTCCATTTTGGAAGGAAGCAATTAATGATGAGATGGATTCCATCATGGGAAACAATACTTGGGTATTAGCTGATTTACCTCCTCAATGTAAACCAATAGGGTGCAAATGGATCTTCAAAAGGAAATTGAGGATTGATGGAACTGTTGAAAAATTCAAAGCCCGGTTAGTGGCACAAGGTTTTACACAAAAGCCTGGTATTGATTATTTCGATACATATGCACCTGTTGCTAGAATCTCAACTATAAGGTTGTTGATAGCTCTTGCGGCTATCTATAATCTTGTGATCCATCAAATGGATGTCAAGACAACGTTCTTGAATGGAGATCTAGAAGAAGAGGTTACATGCAACAACCGGAAGGGTTTGTTGTGGAAGGCCAAGAGCGAAAATTTTGCAAGTTGATTAAATCTTTGTATGGGCTTAAGCAAGCACCTAAGCAATGGCATCAAATTTTTGATGAGGTTGTGTTGTCTAATGGATTCAAGTTGAATAATTCAGACAAGTGTATATAGTAAATTTAATGACAATGGTGAAGGTGTCATAATTTGTCTATATGTAGATGACATGTTGATCTTTGGAACAAGTATGTCACAATTTGAAATGACAAAGGAATTCCTTAGTTCAAAGTTTTCCATGAAAGACATGGGAGAGGCGGATGTCATCTTGGGCATAAGAATAAAGAAGGAAAAAGGGAAGTTGATCTTGTCACAATGTCATTATATTGAGAAAGTGATCAAGAAATTCAATGTAAGTGAAAATTCTCTTTCTCTTTATTCAACGCCTATGGATCCCAGCGTAAAATTATTACCTAATGAAGGTAATGCAGTTTCACAACTGGAGTACGCAAGAGTAATAATTTGTTTGATGTATGCCATGACTAGTACTAGACCGGATATTGCTTATGCAGTTGGTCAACTAAGTAGATATACTAATAATCCTAGTATGCTACATTGGCAAGCAGTTCGACGTTTGTTGAAATACTTGAAGAAAACCATGGATTATGGTTTGTCTTATAGTGGATATCCCTCGGTTATAGAAGGATATTCGGATGCAAGTTGGATCTCTAATAAAGATCATTCCTCCACAAGTGGTTGGGTTTTCCTATATGGCGGAGGTGCTATCTCATGGGCATCAAAGAAGCAAACTTGCATTGCGGACTCCACAATGACATCGGAGTTCATTGCTTTGCATTCAGCTAGTAAAGAAGCTGAATGGTTGAAGGATCTCATGTTTGAGATACCTTTGTTGGCAAAACCAATATCACCTATAGTGATACATTGTGATAATAATGCAACCTTGGCTAAGGCATATAGTCAAGTATATAATGGTAAGTCAAGGCACATTGGTGTAAGGCATAGTTACACTCAAGGACTTATCAAGGATAGTATAATTACTATTGACTATGTTCGTACGAAGTTTAATCTCGTTGATTGCTTCACAAAAGCATTGGCAAGAGATGTTAATAAGAGGATGGCAATCGTTTTAGGATTGGAGCCCTAAATAATTACAAATAAGGAAATTTTAACTTAACGCCCAATAAGATGTTGGGTCTTAAGTTCAATAAGATTAATTTCTTTATTGAGCGATTGGGAACTTGTATTCATCCTAGGTAAGTTCCAGTTTTACTGTGATGAAAAGAGGTTGTTTTTCTTAATAGATTTTTTTACATTGTGCTTTGTCACAGGAGCATGTTTATATCTACCTATATAAGTACAAGGTTTGGCCGCTTCAAGAAGTTATTAGGGCATAACTTTGATGTACTTATGTATAGATATGAACACATGGCCTTAACGTGTCAAGTATATAATGTATTCAGGTTATAAGATCTTATGTGTATAATATCTTCAAGTTTCTTATATGTATTGATATTGGTTCAAACGTTTAACGATACCAATTGGATACTGATTCTTAGAATGTGTATTATACTAAGTGGAAGTTCAAGTCTTTGTACACTTTCATGTATGCATAAGATTGTTTTTGTGATGATGATGTATTGCATTGAGTCTAGTTTAATACTCTAAATGGGGGAGGATTGTTGAGTTATTTAGAGTATTGCATTGCTTGATGAAATAAACTGTTGTATTTATACCTTATGGAATAATGATTATATGGCACCGTTTAGAATACACCTTTTGGAATAATGATTATATGGCATCGTTTGGAATACACCTTTGAAATAATGGTTATATGGCACCGTTTGGAATACACCTTTTGGAATGATGGCTATTCACTTTTTTGCATGCTGCACATATATATTCAACGTAAGGGTTGTGGGGATTATCAGATTTTTTATCTCTCCATTAAAAGTCAATTTGCATGTGTTTGTCATTGTTCATCATCACAAAATAAATATACTAGTTTACATTGAATCATAATTATACTACACATAATTGTGATTGTTATTCGTTGTATCTCTTAAGTAATTTCGTGATACCCGGATTGTAATTTAAGGGTCGAAATATTACTTTTGGGAAAGTAATTCTGTTCACGCCTCTAAGGTTATTATTGTTTAATTTCGATTTCTTCTTTGTGTCCCTTGTATTTTTAGTATTATCCCCGACAGTTATAACTCAAAAAATAATAAACAAAAACGAAAGGTGTAAAAACGTGAGCAATTAAGCTAACAACTCTTAGGAGTTAGAACAACGTTTACCATTTTCCATGCCTGAACTTCATATCATTACTATACGAGGACCCTACTTTCAACGTTTGAATCCACATGTAAACGTTGTTAAACATACGCCAATAAAATTATTGAATGAGTCGTTAGATGTAACAAATCATAGCCCACCATACCATATTCGAAGTATATTAAATAATTATCATATTGAATTTTCTAAATTGAAATATTAGTCTCTTTCTATTGTTCATATCCATAATTGTATTTATATCATCCAAAGTCTTTCTATTTTCTACGTTATTAGCAAATAGCCAAAGATACTACCAAAAAGAGACACCGTGTTGACGACTTGACTTTAAAACAATCAATGTACCTAGGAATTTTCTACACCTCCATTTTGTAATAATCGCAATGGTAGAGAGTGTACATAGTTTAAGAAAAATATAGAGTAGGTTTATAGGCTTCAAAAATATAATGCAAGTAGACAAATTTTTTTATAATATAAACTATAATTAGTATGAGAGAGAAATAATAATAATAAAAAAAAAGTAGTATAAGTGGGGTTGGTAGGAGAGAGAAATGATAAAATATTTGTGAAGCTGATCAAGTTAATAGGAGAGATAATTAATAAAATAATAGTAAGTATTTACTTAAATAAAAAGTATTGCAACTATTATGAAACGAACATAAAAGAAAAGTGTTACGATTATTACAAAACGGAAGGATTAACCAAAATAAAAAAAATTAAATTCGAGTGGCGACCCCTTTGTATTACCTTGTAGTCCAAGGAAATTGTTTAGAGTTTTCCCTTCGTTGAAAATTCAAGGACATCATCTTATAAGTTACAAGTTCTCTCACTTTCTCTCTCACCACAATTTGTGTTAAATTATACAATTGTGTCTATTTATAATTAGTCATGTATTCTTGTGATATCACCTTAATTTCTTTTATATTTGTTAGCTAGTCAAACTGTGATCTTATTTGCAGAAGCAAGTCAAGCAACGCTATGGAAATCAAGGTAATTAATACTCTAATATTCATTTCTTAATTTGATAGGATCATTTATATTTTCTTAATTGTGTTGTTATTTTCAGTGATTTCATCGAATGTTTCTAATCATGTTTCCCTAACATCATAACATTAATAATAAAATGCATATATATATAAATATGGTCTCTTCTTCCTCTATATGTATATTTAACGGAAACTCAACTAGTAAGTTATTACTTTGTTGTGATCTAAAGGTATGTCGTATGCCCCTAGATCGAGTTTTTATATGCTGACTTTATTGATGAGATAGGCGGATTAGACCCAGACTAATATGTGAATACGTATTTGATTGATGTATTATTGTCGGTATGTAGTGTAGCCTAAGAGAAAAATGATGTGATCAAATGAAGAAATTTACGAATTAATATAAGGCGATGATCATTAATCTGGTTGTTGGGTTGTTTGTGTAGAAAGTGGTGATGAAGTTGGACATCCATGATGAGAAAGACAAGCAAAAGGCCTTGAAAGCAGTCTCTTCACTTACAGGTTGGTGCTCTTTCCTTATATTTTTTGACTCTCAAACTTTCTTTTCCTTTCTGTTTTTTCAATGATTTTTTCTTAAGCTAATATATGTGTTTTTTTTATATGCATATACTTTCCTTTTCTATTACTATTAAGGTACATATAAATTCATCATTAAATTTTGTGAAAAAAAAAGGATTTCATAAGACAGGATATGGAGTGATTTTGTTGTTCTTGTAAAAGGTATTTTGATACGGTAGATATTGTTCGAAAAATTAGGATAATACAATCAAGGCGATTAGTATATTTTTTTGGAAAATGCTATATGTAGCCCTAAAAGCCATGTATAAGAAGTTAAAATAGGAAAGTATTAATAAAATATATTCATTAATTACACTGATTTGCTCGTGATTTTGTCATACATTACTAAACTTATACTAAAAAAAGAAAGATATCAAATGCTTATTTGTAGCCATAAGGGCTATATATAGCATTACCCATATTTTTTTCACGGCTTAACAAAATTACAATTTACAACAATCATGAAAAAGTATTTTATTGATAATCATAATATTAACTACAAAATGTGACTGATTGGTAATATCAAGAGAATAGTTGTTGATTTAATCAAATATTACACATACTATGTACTATTAAGTTGTTGATTAATTTGATATTAAACAATTTATACTTTTCCTAACAACAAAAAAACAGAGGAAAACAGGGTATGTAAAACGATGCTAATCAAATTTATGATGGTTTGCAGGGATTAATTCAGTGGAAGTAGACTTGAAGGAAAGTAAAATGACAGTGATAGGAGATGCTGATCCAGTTGACGTGGTAAACAAGTTAAAGAAACCCTGGAAAGCACAGATTGTAACAGTGGGGCCCCCCAAAGAGGAGAAAAAGGATGATAAAAAGGATGATAAAAAGGATGACAAAAAGGATGACAAAAAAGATGATAAAGAGAAGAAGGAGAAGGAAGAGAAAGAGAAACAAATTGCAGAGCTTCTTAGACTTTACAGATTACATAACCCTCCTGTTTACTATTGTTATCAAACTATAGAAGATAATAATCCTAATACTTGTGTAATACTGTAATTTGCTAATTATGTGGATATAGTTTCCAATACTGAACTGTTATTCGTCGTTCGCAAATTAATGGGTGACGTTCACATTTTTAATTGAAATGACATTTTTGCCCTCGTGGGTATTTTATCTATTTAAGGGTCCACCATGGGTAAATTTAGTTACCGACAACATTAAAAACATTACCGACCCACCACTTGTGTTAAAAAAATCCCGAGCATTAAAAAATCCCGGTTCCACCATTGTACGGTAATCCCGAGGAATTTAAAAATCCCGGGTCAGAAAAGGAAAGTGTACGGAGTGATGTTTTACGATGGACGACGACAACGTTCACACGCCGGAGGGTTCGACGGAAGAATCTGTAAGTATTTCGGAATTTTTTTTTTTTTTTTGTAAATAGGACATCCGCTTGATTTTTCCGGAAATCTGGGGGAGATCCGCCCAAAATTTCCGAATGTCCCCAATAATATCCGGAAATTTCAAGCGGATGTACACATCCGGATGAAATTTCCGGATGTAATTAGGGACATCCGGAAATTTTGGGCGGATCTCCCCCAGATTTCCGGAAAAAAACAAGCAGATGTCCTTTTTTTTTGTTTTTTTTTACGTTATTATTATTAATATTATTATTATTATTATGGTTATTAATATTAGTTTTGTTAATTTTGTAAATTTCTGTTATGATTATGATTATTATTAATATTATTACTACTATTATTATTACTATTGTTGTTGTTATTATTATATTAGTTATTATTTGTTAATGTTACGTAGTTATTGTTGTTATTATTATTAGTATTATTATTGTTATTGTTATTATTATTAGTATTATTATTGTTATTATTATTATCATTAGTATTATTATTGTTATTGTTATTATTATTATTATTATTATTATTATTATTACTATTAATACTATTAATATTATTATTGTTATTATTGTTATTTTTATTATTATTATGATTATTTGTATTATTATTGTTATTATTATTGTTAAATTTAAAATAGTAATCCTTGCGTGTTTTGTTTGTATTGTTATTTTGATAGGATTCGGAGGTTGAAGACGACGGTGACGTTGTGAATTACAGTGAACATTTTGTGACAGACACGGTTTTTCTAACGTTTGACGATGCAGTTACATGGGCGGATGCTGTTGCAATAAATCTGGGATTTATTTTGGTGAAATCGTCTTTCAACAAACAGAGGGATGGTCGACCAGTTTGATATTTAAGATGTGACCGGGGACGCAGGAGTAAGCCGAGAGATCTTGAGAACGCAATTCGGAAGAACACCAAAACCAAGGGCATTGGTTGTCCTTTCTACATCAAGATATGTTACGAGTTCGTCACCAATACTTGGTTTATCCGGGCGAAAGATGATGTAACTGGGACCCACAACCATCCAATGATTGCGTATCCAGAGGGTCATCGTAAAATTAGTGGGTTGAGCCCGAATGCGAAGCAGGTTGTGCGTGACATGACGAAGTCTAAGGTTGCACCGCGTAACATCATGGCGACTATTGCGGAGCAATTTCCTGATGATCATCCAAACATCAGACACATCTACAACTTCCGGAATGACTTCAGAGAGGAGATGTCTGATGGGAGAGGAGTTGTTCAGCAATTTATACATTTGGCGAGACAGAGTCAGTATGTTTACTGGGTCATGTCCGATGATGAAGGCGTTTTACAGCACGCCTTTATCGTGCATCCAGTCATGGTAGACATCCTACGGACGTACCCCTATGTGATCGGTATGGATTCCACTTACAAGACTAACCGATACGGGATGCCGTTCTTTGAGATAGTTAGCGTGACACCGACAAATCAGAATTTTCTCGTCGCTTACGTGTTCATGCGCAACGAGAGCACGGCAAGCTATCGATGGGTTTTGCAGAGGTTGAGAGACGTGATTGGGTATAATAAGGAGCCGTCGGTTTTCTTGACAGACCGTGAGCTTGGGCTATGTGCTGCATTGAGGGAAGTGTTTCCAGGAACCTCGCACTTACTTTGTCGATGGCACATTAACAAAGATGTGGAGGCTCGGGTCACTGCTATGTTCAAAAGCAAGAAAATCGGTGCGTCTTTCAAAAACGGAAAATGGAAACGTATCATGGACGCTGCAACCAAGGAAGATTATGAGGCCGCTGTAGAAAACATGAAAGATAAGTGGGCAAGTTTTCCAGCAGTGATACAATATGTAGAGAACACATGGCTTTGTCATAAAACGAAGTTCGTGACATTTTGGACAAACCAAGTTCTACATTATGGCAACACCAGCACTTGCAGAGTTGAGAGCCAACATTCGGCTGTGAAGATGTGGTTTGATTCCTCGTCAGGTTTGGTGTAAGATTATTGAACTTCATGTATGTACTTTATTTTAGGAATTTGAGTTACAAATCATAACGGTTTTTCTTTATAATGTGCAGGTTCTTTAGATACCGTATGGGCTCGAGTTCATAGCCACATTGGTAATCAAATCATCGCAATTCGTAATGGTTTGGAGGCTTCTAGGTCAAAGATAGGTCAAAAGTACCGACAGTTGCCACTGTCACGTATAAATGGGAAGGTGTCTCAGCATTGTTTGAAGGTTCTCGATGAGGAGACAAGGAGGATGAGGGAACTGAGTTATCAAGTGCACGAACGATGTGGATGTGCAATGCGTGTGACCCACGGGATGCCCTGTGCATGCCAGATACATGATTCGCTAGTTGCTGGGACAGGATTGTACATAAGGCAAATTCACCCGTTTTGGAGGACCTTGGTTATTGGTTCTGGAGATGGTGGGACGGTGCCTGACAATGACTCGACCGAGGATGCCGCACATTTTCGTTCTCTGATGGAGGAGGTGTTTGATAATGATCCTGCTGTTCTTCGAAACGTGTCTCGCATCATTGAAGAGGAGCTGCATCCGGATCATTCCGATCTTAGAGAGCCTGCTGTAAACCACCGGGTTCGTGGTCGACCAAGAAACAATGATACAAGACGTGATCGTTCTTATTTTGAACATGTAAACCGCCAACACACTGAACGCGGCGCACGACAAATAGTTACGATTGAGTGTTGTGTTTTTCACATAAATCAGCGTTCACTAAACTATTAACTGAAACCTACATTTGTGCAGGAGATGTAAACGACATTAGCCAAAGCCGTTATCGACACATGCTTCCAGGGCCGATGTTGCCTTACATCACAAGATGGAAGGATGTCATTGGCGATGGAAACTGTGGGTTTCGTTGTGTGGCCGAGTTCTTCTTCGGTGATCAAAGCCGATGGTATGACGCTCGAGGGACAATAGCGAATGAGGTCCTCGGTTATCGAGCCCTATATGAGAGGATTTATGGGCTTGGAAGACTTGAGATCAATGTGCAGCGTATTCGATGGGACGGTGGGGCGGTTGATTCCCATCATTGGATGGTTGCAATACAAGATTTATTTCCTATTGCGACTTGGTTCAACGCAGCGGTTATTATTCTTGGTGTAGGCCAAACACCAACTTGCTACTACCCATGCCTCACGATATTGTCGTTGCGGGCAAGAAGGGGGGTCACAGCACTGGAGCGAGAGTTTGTCATCGCTACAGTTGGGGCCTCACATTTTATTTGTATTGAACTTGCACCTGATTCGCCACTTCCCCCGGTTGCAGGTTGGTGGACCGAGCACCACGACCCAAGTGTTGACGGTTGGGATCAACGTTACGAAGCTAGAAGGAACATGTGGGATGCCTTAATTAGATAGTGAACATGTTGTTGTACTTTCATTTATGTTAAACAGTTGTCGTTATGTAATTTGCAACGAATTGAACTTAATTAAACAAAATATTTACAAAACCACCAAAACAGTTGTTCAGTACTTAAAGTACGTGACGAATAAATAGTACATAAACGAAATGCGTACAAGGGAAATAAAAAAAAGGAAGTTCACAACCTCATCATCGCCCTCCAATCAGCTCGTAGCGCCTCAGCCATTGCTCTTGTATCACGCGATAGGCTCGGATACTCCTCCAGGGTCCTGTTGATGACCTCCATAGACCGACCCATCCACTTCAATTAAAAAAACAACATATTAAATAAATCACAAGTTTTTTTTAAAAAAAACAACATATTAAAAACAACATATTAAAAAAATCGGATTTTAAAAACAACATATTAAAATAGCAACTTATTAAATTATACCAAAAAATACAACTACTTACGTAATCCGTGTTAGTTCTCTCTGGCAGTGTGCGACTCTCATGGGATGACGCAACTGGAGAAACACGTGGATGAGAAAATCGGTACAGCCACTGCATGTAACCAGGACCGACTGTAGGAGCACCACCACCAAGTCTGCTGAGGGCACCTACCACGACATTAAAAGACATACCAGGGACAAACCAAGTCCACATCACAGATGTCATCTCTGGCGGAAAGTCAACCCGATACATCTTCAAATTCGTCGGTCTCTTAGCCTTCTCAGGCCTGATAATGGCTGGTGGAATGCCCTGGACGTATCCAAGTTGCCGAACCACTCGATCAGGCATGTATGGCTCAATGATGCTACGATACTGGATGCAGCCAATGAAAAGAGTAGCAGGCACGCGTCGTGCTGGATCAACTCCGTACGGTAGCCAGTTAACTTCATTGTCAGTCAAATGATCCAACCTAGCCCGAAAAGCGAGAAGGCGCTCCATGCTCTTGTTAGGGCACCCTGATCCAACATCCCAGGCAGACGCACGAGGAATATTAAGCTCTATGGTCAAGGTCCCCTGCTGAGGCCGGAAACACGGAAAGTACTCGTAGATCCACGCCTGCAGAAGTGTAAGGCAGCCAGCGATAAAATCAACATCTCTTCGTGATGTTGTACCCAATTGCCGGTACATGTATGCTAGAACAGCAGAACCCCAGGAGTACTCACTAATCTGAACATCCTCAACAAACAGCTCGTTGAGGAAGGAAGGATGAGTACGGTTTCCACTCTTGTCCAAAAACAAACAACCGCCGAGTACTAACCACAGGTACGTCCTGTAATGGAAACTGAAGGGCCTCTGCGCCTCCAAGGTCGACTCCACTATCCTCTCTGTCAGGACCCCACTACCCTGCCATACGGTTTTGGTACCACACTTCTCATTCAGCTCTTCCTCAGTCATATCCAA